TATGTGCACCCACGTGCCGGGGCAATAGGTGATGCTTTCCTGTTACAGGACGATAACTCAAGACCACACAAGGCTTGCATCGTAGATGATTATCTTCAACAGGAAACAATTATGCACGTGGAGTGGCCAGCTCGATCGAGCACATTTGGGATGGTTTAAGGAGACGTATAGGTGCTCTCAATCCACCCCCTTAGACACTTGCCGCGCTTGCATCTGCTTTGCAAGAGCAATGGCTCTCGCTTCCTATGGAACTGATAGACCGCATAATTGAAAGCATCACACATCGCTGAATGTGCTATATTGCATATTCTAGAGGCATATTGAATACGGTCATATTCCATATTGAAGGTACTTTTACTATACCAAACTGACATTTTCAATTTGTTCATTTTATACATGTGCTAATTCCTATACTACCATAATTGTCTGATAATTTCTTTTTATGTTATTTGATACCTTACTATGTGTTGTATATTGTGGGCAAGTTTCATAAAATTCTACATGTAACTTTTTCAGGAATCGTGATTTTTCCTTAACTTATAGTATAGTTTGGAAGATAGGAACAAAAAATTTAACCGTAAGTGGAAAACTCACAGACATAATGAAGGCTCGGAAGTGCAAAAATGAACCAAATAAGTTGAGATTTTATCTGAATTAGGTCCCAATAGGAGCCGAGAACTTGTTTGAGTACAGTAATTGTTGGTTTGTTTTGTTTGTTATAGTACTTCGTGTTTGTATATTGCATGTTGGTCCATTTAGAATTATGTAGGATTTATTGTGTTCCTTAGCTTTATAGTATAGTTGCAGCCTTGCAACTTTGAGGTTGTTTATCGCCCAATGAGGCTAAATAAATGTCGATGGGCTGAGTCGTCTAGAGGAAACACTCTATGCTAGGGTGTGATTGTTCCGTTATTGATATGTATTTTTTTTCTACTGTGTAAATATCATACCTGACTAATATACAGGTTAATTTGTTTCCTGTTAAGCATATTGTAATGTGTGCATATATACGAGGGTTGGAACTTTAACAGTGGCAACACAGCTGAAAAAATGCTACGCAACAAAACCAAAGAATATCGCGTATACCACACGTGAACTACATACCTACCTTACCTCTCAGCAAAATGACTCGTCCTGCCTATGTCACGCACATGCGGAGTGACGCGAAGAACGAATCCTTGTATTGTCTCGCGGTCTAAAGTAAGTGTTGTCAGGATGTTTTCAAAACAAGAACAACGATGTTGGATAAAAATTGAATGTGCCAGAGGTCGTACAGCATGACAGTGTCATCAAGGGCTTCAAGAGGCTTGCGGGAAATCTGCATTGCCTTACAGAACCATAGCAAGATGGGTGAAAGCATTCAATGAAGGACGCCAAAATGTGGCAGACATGCTGCGGCCAGGTCGTCCGAGTGTCAGCGATGCAGACGTGCAAGCTGTTGCCGCACTAATGGACAGTGATCGCTGCCAAACGATTCGTCAGCTGGCCGGACAAACAGGATTAGCGCATACGACTGTGCTGCACATTCTGAAGGAACGCCTGTCCATGAGAAAAATTGCTTCACGATGGGTTCCACATCAATTGACAGAAATGCAGAAATGGCTACGATACGATGCTGCCCAAACCCACCTGGAGCACTATGAGCGTGAAGGAGATGCTTTTTTTATGCCGTATCATTACGCTGGATGAGACTTGGGCCCGATCGTACAAGCCAGAACTGAAACGCCAATCAAACGAATGACGTCATCACGGGTCACCACGGCGTTCGAAATTTCGTCAGAACCCCAGCAATGTGAAAGTTATGGCGATTCTCGTGTACGACTGTGATACTGTCATCCTAACACATACCGTTCCCCCACAGCAGACCGTCACTGCGCAGTATAACTGCTCATTTTTGGAGCACAATCTCCGACCAGCTTTGAGAAAAAAACGGCGACACTTTCTGCAGAACGCTCCTCTCATTTTGCATGACAATGCTCGGCCGCATGCAGCGCAAGCTGTGACTGATTTGTTCAAGCGATGGGGCTGGGAAGTGCTTTACCTTCCACCATACTTCCCAGATCTAAGCCCTTGTGACTATGACTTAATTCCTAAGATAAAGGAACCACTTCATGGCACTCGCTTTCAAACTGTTCCTGAGATTCTTGCGGCAGTAGACCGGTCCATTCAAACTACCAACAAAACAGGCGCTGCTACAGGTATTCTGCGACTTCCACATTGTTGGAAACGGGTTGTACACAATGCTGGCGACTATATTGAAGGACTGTAAAACATGGTGACATGAATCACTTTTGTATTCCTTGTAAATAAATAGCTGCCACTATTAAAGTTCCGACCCTCGTATGTATTGAATTTATTAAGTTTTCGCCTCTGAAGGTAATGCCTAATTGACATATATGTTAACTATCTATTAGTGACACTATTATTATTATTATTATTATTATTGAATGTCACAGTGTTCTTGTATAAATGTGCTTGAGCATATTATTTAGAGGACAGAGATAGTTACCCTCTGCATGTTGTTTTACGAACTAGTGCAGAAGTGACGTGAACTTTTCTCTCGTCTAAACTCAAGAAAAGTTCTTCCTAAGGCGGAAGGAATATAGCTGTAACGTCTTAAACTATTTTATCAATCATCACAAAGTTCTCAGAAAAAGAATGACCATCATGAATGTTCCCACGGACAGAGTATTTATTAGCGAATTCTCGGAAAGAGGAAGTGACCAGCAGTCACAAAACAATCTCAGCTTTCTGTTCCTCTTATAGTTCTTCAAAAGGAGACATTGTTCCCTTCCCTTTCATCAGTTTATTGGTTCAGTGTCTCAGACCACCCGGTTTGAGTCCCCAGTTGGAACCGAACAGTTCTCACGGACTTTTTCCCAGGCTGTCTTCATCATATCCAGTTGTTAATCAAAGTGCTCTCGCCAATCAAGAGGTAATTCTAAAAATTACGGACAAATGAGGATCCTGGGATTCGTTTCAACATACCCATAACAACTTTAACAAAATGATGGAACACAGTTCCAGAAAGAAGAGCGAGTGAGAATTAGTTGCAGTAAGTGGAGACAGAAACCTTCTCTCGGTTTTTTCAGCTCGGCCACAAGAGTCGATTAATTCTAAATAGTCTCATCTTGAACCAACCATCAGCTTGAACTATTTCCAAACAAAAACTTTCATCTTGAGTTCTAAACAGGAACTTTATTCACACTGTCTGGAACTGGTTATATTTCTTTTCCCCTCACCCTACTGTGAGAACAATACTGTATAAGTTTATGTATTTTTATTTTTTTTGCATATAGCCTAGAAAGAACCCAAATAAATTTATTTATGCTACCTCTTGCCTTTTGAATTCGTCACAATAGGAAGGCAAAAATGTGAAATAACGAATAAATAAAACCTTATTGTTCATTATTTTATAATTTAAAAAAATTCTTTATAGAAAATGCAACATTTTAGTCTTACACTCTTTATTATCAATATTTTTATTACAGAAGAGAAACAAGTTAACATTTGCAATATTTCTTAATTTACTTGTGATTTTATGCACGCGTTTTGGTATAATTTCTGTCTTCCTATCGGATACTTCTAAAATGACAAATATCATTCATAATTATTGCGTTGTCACCAATAAAATGGCAACTGAAAGAGTCCAGGTTTCTACTATTCTCAGTTAAAAATCAATTATTAAATAGAAAAATCTAAGTTTTAATGCTTTAACTGCCATGAAAAACATACAAGATTCATTCCCCAGTGTCACCGTTTTTCACACAGGTGTGCGTAGTTAGTTATTTGATGTACTGGAGGAAAATAAGTGCAAGTTTTACTTTCTAAAAACTGTTTACTTTCACAAAATAAAGAATACAAGAAAAAAATGAAAGCACAAAAATTTATTCTTAGAGTAAAGCATAATAAAAACTATGTTTGTATAATAAAAAAAGATCCCCCAAAAATAGAGTTTCGTTCAATTTATTTTCACAATAGTGAAGGGTTAATATCAGGTTTCAGTGTTATACCTAAAAAAAAAAACCTATATTTCTTCTGAATTGGTTGGATGCCACGATTTTGTTCTTGATTTTTTTTTTTTTTTTTTTTTTCCAGGATGTTAGTTCATATACTGGTCTCCAAAACGGCCAGTTTCAGTAACAATATGAAGCACGAGCAGTTCATCAAAAAATAATTCCAAAAAGATAAGTGGGTTTGAAACATCCATTGTACCTTTCTTCCTGGCATCTACTACAAACAGTAAATGAAAACAGAAGGCACAGAATAAAAAAAGAAAAACGTTTCACTCAAAATGAGAAAAACAAGCCAATACTGCGCAGCCTTACTTACACTGTTTCAGAAACATCCCCCTCTCCAATTCCTCCCCCTTCTCTGAAATAGTATCATCCTTTGTATACTCTGTCAAGGTCATTGCGGTGTTGCATAGCTTTGTGAATGATTTTACTGGTAGCAGCGCAAAGCAAATGATAGTATTTCGGAAGGGCATACATATACGCAAAGTCGTAGCTAGGGTTTTCAGCGCCCATGGACAACTGAAGATTTTGCGCCCCCTACTGCTTGCCAAGGATGGAGAACATTTAATTCTAAAATATCGTAACATCAGTTTGGCCCCCCTTGGACTCTGCACCCGGGGACAGATGCCCCCTCTAGCTACGCCCCTGCATATACGCCCGGGGCAGTTAACGCATCAGCTGAGCAAGGCGCATATTTATATATACGCAAGCGGCAGTTAAGGGGTTAAACAACAATTATTAAACAGAAATTTCGAAGTTTTAAAAATAGATTGAAATGCTCAGAATGCAGGTCATGATATTTTATACCTGAACATACTAAATGCATATTTACTACTTACAATTGCAATTGTGAGTTGAAATTTAAAGCATAACTGAATTTGTAGTTAACAGACTAATAAAGTAAAATATGAATGTTACACACACCAAACTCATTAACTTTTCAGAGAGAAATAACCTGATGTTATATTAAACTAATATTCTTACTGATAGGACAAGTGTGAAGAGCATCATGTGACAAGGATATACCATTCACAGCCACTTCATAAATTCTAGATTCCTAAACAAAATAATGCATTTATATATTTTATACAATTATATAAATTTATACATATATATGTCCGTACAAGAAAACACTAAAGCATTTCGAAGGAAAATAAAGCATTTCGAAATTTTAATATTTTATTATTGACAGGTGTACCATCAAATGCTGCAAATAAAGAGTTAAGTATTATGATTAGAAATTTTGAAAAGTATGCATTAGGTTATATACGAGGACTCAGAAGACAAATAACACATGCAAGAACTATGTGCATACATATATGTAATGACAAAAATTTCCTGTGGTGACGTAATGATTATGATGTTTCCTGGATGGTTATGATGAAAATGCAGTTATGGCTGGTTGACACACTCCTTTATTCTTGGCATAACATTTATTTAGCATATACACATGAACTGGTGTAAGATGCAAGTCTGGTATTCGATAATTATCAGCTTACATTCACATATTTATAGTACTATAGAATGAGATGAAATTAAGAATAGCAAAGTTAGTTAATTTCTCAGCAGAAACGTACAATATTATTTTACTGCTATTTGGTTTGGTTAAATTTCAGCTTAATTTTAATTAAATTAAAAGATTTTAACTTCATTTTGATTGTTCAGTAAGCAAAGTACGCATATCATTAGTATGAATCCCAAGGAAAGGGACAAGTATTCATATGATGCAACACCAAAAGATTTATTATAAGCATACACTACTGGGGCAAACTTTCTAACAGGAAAGGAAAAACAAAAATTTTTAAAATAAAAATCAAAACTGAAAAATAATTTGCTTTTGATTTAACTTTTATTTTTTCCCTTTTATTAGTAAGTTTGCCACTACGGAAAGATGCGATTTTGTGTTATTTATCTGTTAATTAATATACATAGTACAATATACATATGTAAATATAGATAAACTAGGAAAAAAGCTTATTTTATTTTTCTTTAGCTCATATCAAAGTTTGTACAAAGAGACCAAAATCATCTTGCATGCTGCAATACTGACAGCTTGTTACATTACACTATATTCTATTACTTTAAAATAGGCACTCCAGAGATATAGCAACCTTCCACTCTTTTATGACTACAACAAGGATTTTAGCAAATTTAGTCAATCTTTTTTCTACAGCTGTCATTACCATGATTTGGAAGGAGAAAAATGGCTTAAGTAACAGTCTATACTTACATTTGTTAATGGTTTTTGAGAAATTAAACAGTTACATTTGGCTTTGAAGGTATATCAAGCACTTACCCATGATGGAAACCTATGTAGTGGTGGAGTGGGAGGCCTTATGTCCAAATCAGGATCCAGAGCACCCATGATTTCTTTGCTTGGAGTGTAAATCTCAGCATAATCATGAAGATCATTGCTCGTTTGAACAGTCCTTCGTCTTTCACCCCCTGCATGACCATTTCCCACATTCAGCATTTTCAATTTACGGTCAAGACTGCCATAAATATTGCCATATGTTGTTCCAGTACCAGTGGTTGTTTTGTTACTGCTGTTTAAATCATTTTCTAAATTTGTTTGTGTTGTAGTATTTTTTGATGTAGATGCTGAAATTTACAGAAACAGACTGTCAGAATAAGTAACAAAACTGTTATTACTTTCAAAACTGTAGGAACTTTCAACTTATATCAACAGTTAGAATTTTTATAAAAATGACAAGTGCACAGGAAGCATATAGAAAGTATAAAAAATATAAGCAGCAAACAGGATTTTAAAAAGTGCAAATAATGACTTATCTTTAAATTCAAGAATTTTCAGCTGACACAACAGTTATTTTTTTAAATTAAAGAAGCAGTATAAAACAGGACTTGTAATACTCTTGGAAGACCACAAATAGATACACATATATTTTAAATCTCCTTGAAAGATGTATACATGCTATAAATTACAGATACATGCTAATGTATTAAAGGCAGGTTTCCACACAGAGATATCCAATTTTTTATGTCAAAGGACAAATTAGAAAATTAAAATATATATATAATACAATGGATATGAAATGCATTCTACAACCAATAGAATTCCATAATAATATCATGAGATAATATGGAGTACTTTGCTTGGTGATATATGCAGGTTGTTCAATAAACAATGGCACTATCATCTGTAAAATAATAAAGGTGGTATCAATTAATGGTGGAGACTAGTTTGGAGAAAGAAATGGCCGGGATGAACAAATATTCAAATTTTTCATTAAAATAGTTTGTTTAAATTTCACTGTGTACTGCAACACATGTAAATTTTGTTTTGAAATAAAGGGTGGTCATAAAAAAACTTCCAGATATCTGAACTCCTACTGGCCAATCTGCTCAACCAATCAAAATGAAACGTAAGATATTACTATTTGACAATGTGCACTTAAGATTTTTGATGATTTAAAACAATATTGTTCTCATAGAGAGTTACAGCAAAAACAATTCAAAATTTTTAAATCACAACACCCACTTTTTTCCAGCGCAAATTGGTCAGCTCACTGAATACCCATGAACAAATTCTTGTTGAATTGTTAAAAAATTAGAGTCTTGTTTAAGAGACAACCTCCACGATGGCAACATTTTGCAGACTGCAGGGCTAGCATCTTTGCCCACGGCACTATCCGAATAGGCTTCACCATAAACATGACAATAACAACAATATACGTATGACAAAACTTGCCACTGCAAAACATTTGCAAAGAATTGTAAAGGGTCAATGACAACACAAGAGAGGAGACAGGGAAAAACTTTGATAGGAATTATAAATTTTCAATGTGCCCATCTTTGCAGACAATTATACATTGCATGCAGGAGATTGTTAACAACAATGATGAATGTAACATCACAGAAAGAATCTGCATAACTTCACATTTTATGGCCTCTTTCCATACTGACAAATCTTGCAGATTTAATGTGTACATCTTAAATTTCAGACAACTCCAGAACCAGAAATCCATCAGACTGGGGGATTGTGGTGGCTACGGAACTGCAAAGTTATGGGAGATGCCTCTATCTTGAAACATTGCATACATTGAAAACTTGCAAATTCCAATAAAAGTCCCCCCTTCTCCTCTCTTGTATGGTGGCTGGTCCTTTATAATGCTCTTCTTTGTAAATGTTTCATGCTGACAATTTTCATCCTACATGAAACATATCAGCACAATTTATAGTTTTTCAATGTACTGATCAATTTATGCAGGAAAAAAAGGGGTGTTGCCATTCAAAAATTTTGAAATTTTTTCACCATATAAGGTATTTTCTCCCTCCTTTTGTATGCCTTCGTGGTATAACTGAAAACAGGCTCAAAACATATTTGGGAAGTCCAGGATTTGAATTCTGGTGAAGTCCAATTTTTTTCAGTTTCTTGACATAAAACAAAACTCTTCAAGACTCTACATGTGGCACCCAAACTAAAAGGTGGAGGATGATAATTCATCACCATCAGGCAGAGGCGTAGCTAAGGTTTTAAATGCCCGGGGACACCTTAAGATTTTGCGCGCCTTTCTGTGTTCCAAGAATGGAAAACATTTCATTCTGAAATGTGTATCATCAATTTGGCGCCCCCTGGATGCTGCACCCGGGGACAGATGTTCCCCCTTGCCCCACCCTAGCTACACCACCGCCACTGCCATCAGGATTGGGCAAATATGTCCCCTGATTCCCAGTCGCCCTTTAAAAGGAGGGAATATATAAAGTACTTTCTCCCTCCTTTTGCAAGCCTTCATGGCATAATTGGAAGCAGGCTCGACATGTATTCGGGGGGTCTAGAGTTCAAATCCTGACGAGGGCATCATGGATTTTTTCCAGTTTCTTGACATCAAAGAAATCTTACTAGACTCTATAATCGTAACCATATCCATGAAAGCTATTTTGTTTTGAATTATCACAATATTGAATGCATACCTTCATATAGCAATATCTGAAATTTCATTTGAATTGGTTAAGTGAATAGGCCACTTATGCATGCTATAAATTACATATACATGCTAATGTATTAAAGGCAAGTGATAGGGGATATCAGAAGTTTTTCTATGATCACCTTGTATGTCTGAATATAAAACAGGGATGTGAACATTGTTATGCTATTTTATTTTAGCCTTGATAAACTTAGAAAATAATTCAGTTGGCATATGGCGAATCTGCACTATAAAGCGTTTATGTTTTCAGTTTTAAAAAAGAATCAGAAATGGATATCAAATTTCTGAAGTGAATAGTGCACCTAATGATAGCTTCGTGTTAACTGAATATATCATGTGGCAAATTTTACACAAGGCAAAATTTTAAGATTTAAAGAGGCATCAAATGGCAGAAAGCCTAGTACTCATCCTGTATCCACTGATGTAAGTTTCTTCTAGTGATCTTAAGATAATGAAACTATGAAGACATGTAGATAATGGGTTTAGTGCAAGAGCAATCATTCAAGTAAAATTTAAATAATTTGGACTGAATTGCTAATGACACAAAGTTAAGGTTTACTTAAATTTATTGATTGAGTTTAACAATGAAAATTAATTAATATTTAGGCCATTAACAAAATTAAAAAGAAACTGTGTTATAAGTTTCGTTTCCTTTTTTTTCAAAAAAGTCTTTGCATGATTCTTAACACAGTGCTCATAAATTCTGAGGGCATATTTTAAACTTCAGTTCTTCTTCCACAAAATGATTAAGTTTAAACACATGGTAAGTCAACTGCTTTGCCAAAGAAGATTTTAAAAAAAAATTTTATTGAGGAATTTTGCTTATTAGCTTCCACTTGTTTTACCCTTTTATGTCTGCTGGTCATTCAGAATTGTAAAACCTCCACTAGCTTCTCCATTGTCAACCCTTAAAGATTATGATTTAATGCCATTTCTTGCATATTTGTGTCATTTATTGCTTCAAACACCCTCTTAACCTTTCCACGTGGGCTTTATTAAGTGGTAAATTTTAAATCTCTGTAGTAAACTTTTTTTAAATCTTATTTAATGTAGTGAGCAATTTATGCATATATGTCTCGCTCCAAGGTTAATATGTTATGTGCTATGGCTATCATATGAGCTACCCAGGCTAAAGTTCTACTATCAGTTATTAACATTTAATCATAATTTGTACCAACAAGGATTTATGAATGAAAGTTTTATTATTTTTACTGGAAATAAACTATAGTAAACATTCATCTATCTCCTACAAACAGAGTAACCTTTTTATATTCATGCCCCCAGAGCTTCCCATGAGTCAATCAAGGTTTCTAAAGTGAAGGGACAACAAAAGACTGGAAATCGAATATTAAATAATAGAGACACAAACAATAAAAAAATAAATATAACAATAAACATGTATGAATAAACAATAAATTATGAAAGCTTTTAGTTTTGTAACTATCATAATTTGTCTTTCTCTTGACTGCAAATAATTAACACTGTAGATAATGAGATTACTAAACTAGTATTGTAACAACTGATCAAAGATAATATTCCATAAAAGCTATCATAACCAGCAGAAAATTTAATGGAAGCTTTATTCAGATAATTTGTGATTACGTATTTGCAATACTATGCACACATATTTGTATGATTAAGGCATATAGTATGAAATAGCTTCGAACATATTTTCAAAGAATAACAGCAGTGGCAAGCTGAAATTACATTACGCAAAATAGAGTAGGCTCAGCATCACATATTGCCAGTGGCAAGCTGAAATTACATTACGCAAAATAGAGTAGGCTCAGCATCACATATTGCCAAACCATCAAATTAAATAAATGTATTTGTATGTTTTTGTGCCAGTGTTTATTGAACAGCTTTATAAACACACTTCACACTATAACAGCCAGAGTGAAAAAGATGTTGCACAAATTATTTTCATTTAAAAAACAATTTAAACAGGAATATTTACTAACAAAATGGTACAATGAAATAAAGCATTTCACCTTATAAATGTTAATTGATAAAATCATATAATGCAGCAATTTTCAGATAACTTTTTATTATTAGTAAAAACAAGCAAAGCTAAGAAATTAAAGATTCTTGTAAAATGAGACCATTTCTTGCCATATGGAGAGACATCTTGACAGGGGAAAAGAAAAGCTTTACATGTATATATATATATGCCAAGACGAAAAAAAAAGGGGGGGGGAAACAGGAGGAAGACAGAATGATAGATGATACCAAAAGCTTACTTTAGAGCCATTATAAGAATAAACAAGCACACACAGAAAAGTTCCTAGTTCGTAGTTGAAGAAAAATAACACTACAAACTAAACCTTTCCATGTACGCCTGTCGGCAAATATCACATCGACAGTGTTGCCATCAATCACTGTGCTTACTTACACATGAAACAGAACAGGCCATCTTTACTTGCATCTTAATCACAAACACATATAACTACATTATGCATTATTAGGTAAGAAGATCTGATCTAATAATAAGAGAGTTCTAGTATGGAATTTAGTATCTTTCCTAGTACTTAAAAAAAAAAAAAAAAAAAAAAAAAAAAAAAAATAAAAAAAAAAAAAAAAAAAAAAAAAAAAAAAAAAATAAAAAAAAAAAAAAAAAAAAAAAAAAAAAAAAAAAAAAAAAAAAAAAAAAAAAAAA